CTATGGCATGACTTGATGCTTGTTCTCTTCAGTTGCCTTGGACAACCCGGAGAAAGCAGCATTTTTCGCCATGCCAAGAGAAGCTCGGTGTACAGGCACACCTCGTCCTTTTAGTTGATCCTCCACCACCTGAAACAACGAGCACTGTTCTTAACAGTTGAGCGAGTCATTCAAACGGCACTTACGTGCGGAGCGTTCAAGGTCCTTAAGATTCGCCCTCTCCAAGATCTCATCACATCCGTCCTTATCAGCGCCGGAGAAACAACGGCCGTTCTTAGGATATTCGTGTTCACCAACTTGGAAGCGCTTTTTCAGGACGTTGTTTTTCTTCTCCGCTCGCCGCCGTCTGCTGCCGGCCGGAGCCTGGCTGCCTCTGACGCCGTGGTCTGCAGCGCTGTTTTCCGTTGTTCGCGATCCCATCCGTCGGCAGAGAGGCGGGAAGCTGGCCGTTGGCGGGTGTTTCCCGGGTCATCATTTGGTAAACAGCGCTCGCTCATGTGACTGGCGATCCCCGGCTGTCCGAGGCGGCCGCGGGTATGAAGCCATCGCCGCCGCCGATGTGGTCATAGACTTCCCCCGCCTCGTCTGCAGCGGCCAGGGCCTTGCGGTGCCTGGGCGTAAGCGGTACCACCGAGGCGCTATTGACTGCGCCGTCCCTTTAACCAGCTGTGATGCTGGCCGGGAACGGTCGGTTGGCGAGGCAGGAGTGAGGCCCCAGCCTGTGGTCCTTGTCACAATGTGCACTGGTTGTCGTCACAATGGGCGGTGGTTACGGTCACAATGGACAGTGATTGCCGTTACAATGGGCGGTGGTTATGATCGCAATGGACAGTGATTGCCGTTACAATGGGCGGTGGTTATGGTCACAATGGACAGTGATTGCCGTTACAATGGACGGTAGTGACGGTCACCATAGCTTGTGGTTGCGATCACTGTGCACTCTGTGGTTCTAGACGTCGGTTTATGGTTCCAGCTTCGGCCTTCAGACAAAACCACCAGCGTCCGACGCGAGTATTCGGTTCCGTTCCGGGTCTGTACGGCACCTTTCCCAGTGTCTGGTTACAATCTCCAGTCCCCCTCTCCACTCTCCAGCTACCGGTTCGCTCAGTCGGTCTGCGCCTCAGCTCCGAGTATCTGGCGCTGCTCCCAGCCTCCGTTCCTCCTCGCAGGCCGTGTTCCTGTCCCCGGCGCTCGTGCCCGTTCCTTGGTTCCGGCTGTCAATCTCCGATGCTTCGACTGACACTCGGCTAAACGCATCGCGGCCGCCGGCGGCGCGTGGGCGACCGCCCCGCATACCATGTCGACCGGCCGTTTGTCAAAGCCGCTGTCGAGAGCGGGCGTCGCGCCCCGCGCCGCCGGTAGCGCCATCTGCCACGCCGGCAGCCGAGCGCTGACTCGGTTGTGTAGGTCGGCGCTCATTAGGCTGTTGAATGGCGTATGCTGACGGCGTCGCCGGCTGTAGTCGCTGGTGCAGGGAGGGGGTTCGCTCGCAACGGGTTCGCGCTGCGCGGCCGGGCAGGCTGGCAAACGCGCGGTGACCACGACCCGGGGGTTGAATTCATGTGTTTAACACACCGGGGCCCCATTCACAGCTTGGCTGACACACCAGCGTACCGCGAGGTCGGTGGTTTTGCACGGGGTGCACAGGGTTCTACCACGAGAAGCTGTTCGTGTGAGCGAGCTACCCTCTGCCTCAGCGGTGGTCTGCTCCTTTCTGGGTTGGCTGCGTTATCGTTAATGTGTCAAAAGTTTGTGGTGGTATCCGATCGGTTGCGTTGGTTGTCACTGAGCTCCGCTGTAGTCGGGCGGGGGTGTTGTGAAGCCCCACGGGCTCCGGCGTTGCGTGGCCATGGGCGACGCCTCTGTGGTGACCCGCCTCTCCCTGCCGGCCGTATTTGGCCTCATGCTCAGGCCGCCGTCTGATCACGTCTCTCGTCCCCCTCGCCGGCCGGCGCGGCGCCGCCGGGCGCTGGCGGACTCAGCCGGTCGTCTGCGACCCCTCAGCGGCCCGGCACGTCGGCCGCGGACCGGACCCGCGAGGCCATGACGCCAGTCTCGCCGTCGACCGGCGCGTCCTGGTCGGCGGCCCCGCGCGACCTGACCCGACCTGACCTGGCCGCGCCGAGCCGTCCAGCCGGCCGATCACGCGAAGACGCTCGCCGCGCGTGCCCTTTCACTTTCGCCCCCGCCGGCTGACCCAGATGAGAGTCAGCGGCCCGACCTTCGCCCGCGACGGTAATTACCCGGCTCGGCCGGCCGGACGCGCCCGCCGGCCGTGGCCGCGCTGTGCCCGGCTGCGGACACGGCTGGCGGACACAGACGCTATCCGCGGCGGACCGCACCGCCGCCAGGCCAACGGGAATTTCGAGAGCCGCCAGGTCACGAGAGCCGCCAGGTCACAGACCCTCCAGGTCACGAGGCCCTCTTGGTCACGCAACCCCCTAGGATACGGACCCTCCAAGTGACGAGAGCCGCCAGGTCATGGGGGTCGCCTTCAGGCTGTGGTTGGGTCAGCCGCTGTCTGTAGCGCAGATTTCCACGCGAGGTTGTCTGCCGGTCTCAGCTAATGTATGCAGGCTTTCCAGAAGGCATCCTCGGCGGTAATTTAGGGCTGGCGGCTGTGGGGCGTCCCTTCTATCACGCTCGAACTTCTCCCATATCTCGCCGTAATCGGATATGAAACCGGTGGCATCTTGCAAGATGTAAGCATATTAAACTGACTGAGTTCGCGAACTAGACTATTTCATTAGCCTCCGTGCATTTTAGGGGGTGCGTCTGTCGACGGTGTTTTGCTGGCCGGGATCGGACTGTGGCGCCATCTATGATGGCTCCCAGGAGGCTCGATGACAGATGGCGGCGAGATATGACCGGCGGCACCGGAAGGCATTGCCTTTATCGCAGCTCATGTCGACCCTATCTAAATTGCTGTCAGAGAGATTCGGGACGCAAATCCTCCCTTCGCGATTCGTTCGCGTCTGCTTTAAGCCGCTGATAGTGGGGCAGGATGAGACCCTTGATCTCCGGAGATCTCCGACGCGCGCTGTAGGAGCCTCTTACTCTCCCCGCGCTCCCCACTCTGCCGCCGCCGCTCGGTGCGCTCTGCTCCCCGACACGCACGCGTGTGCGTAGGCATGAGTGCTGGCTGGACCGTTACGCGGCGGAATGCGACCGCTCGGGTCGGCCCGGCAGGCTGCGATTTCCATCGTCCGACCGATGTCCGGGCCGACGGTATCAGCGACAGCGAGGAGTTCTGACGACTTTTGTCACCGCGCAGCTCGAATGTGTGGGGCGGCGGCGCAAGACTGGACCAGGTGCCCCCGAGAAAGAGAGAGAGAGAGAGAGAGAGAGAGAGAGAGAGAGAGAGAGAGAGAGAGAGAGAGAGAGAGAGAGAGAGAGAGAAGAGAGAGAGAGAGAGAGAGAGAGAGAGAGAGATAGAGAGAGAGAGAGAGATAGACGCTCACCCACCCCCCCCTCCCACCTCCCCGCAAAAACGCGCACACCATCGGCAAAGTAGGTCAGCGGGCGGATCGATGAAGCCGTCTGATGACTGTTGTCATTTCTTCTAGAGCTGCTCTCCAGCGCCGATCCATCTCCCCTCGCCATCGCGCTTGCCATTCTCTCCTCCATTGTTATGCGCTCGGCTCGGCTCGTAAACCATCGCGGCGGCCGCATTCCTGGGCGCTGCAATGGGTACACTTCTCACGGCCGGGCGCCGCCGACGTGGCCTGCCGAGCCGCCCCGGAGATGGCCCATGGGCCACGAACCGCGAGCCTCCAGCCAATTAAGCGGGCACTCCCGCCGCTAGATAATCGTGCAGTTGTTTGTGCTCGCGGGGTGGCGGCCGGGCCGACGCCGCGGATGCTGACGCCCGGCGCGAGCCTAGCACGGACGACGGCGGCGCGGGGTCGCCGGACTCGGCAGGATAGCACCGACGGATAGCACCGAACAACGGCAGGATAGCACCGACGACGGGGGCAGCCGGCCGGTCGTCTCGGACGCGGATGCCGGTGTGCCGTGGCACGCGCCATTGTTCCCCTGCGCTGGGTCGGCGGCAGCGGCGCGCGGCTCAACGGGCATTGTGTGCTGCTAAAGACCTCCAACGGTCCGGGTGACGAGCAAGCACGAGCGAGTCGTTAGCGCATGGACGGAACTGACTGCCAAATCATACGCTGTGTGCGAGCTAAGAACACGGTAGCCTATCGTGGAGAAAAGGCGTCGGTCGTTCTCATCGTTGCATCATGATGTTGATTGTGATTCGCGGCACCCCGGCGAGGAGCTTTTTCGTTCGCTTTGCGACCCGCATGAGCACTGAGTGCGTTGGCGCTCACGTTTTTGCCCAGAAATCCTTTTTATATGACACGGCAGGGGGACCATGGAGTCGTAATGTACTGCGCGTCCCTTCCCCAGTGGTCGAATAACCCGCCTGCCCCGCCCCCCCCCCAAAAAAAAAACAACAACACTGCCTTTCCGTCCTCTCCGCATGCAACACCTTGAGCATTTCAAGCAGTCGCCTGCTTCAGCAAACGCTTGTTTCCGTCCCGTCCTGCCCGCGCCACCCGAACGATCCAGTGAGGACGACGCGCGAGGACACCGATCCAGTGAGGACAGCGCGCGAGGACGGGACGGCACTCCCCTTCCCCCAGCGGTGCCCTGCACCCGAGTCACTCCGGCGTCATCAGTGCCCGGGTCGATGACTCAGCGGCGGCCGTCGGCGGCCGTCCGGGAAGCAGGCGTGTGCCTGGCCGCCCGAGGCGACGATCGGCGCGCGATGCCGTGCTGACGAGGATGACTCGCTGTTCCCACGGCGCCGGCGACGATGACTCGCGCTGAGTCTCGTCACCGATGGCGCGTCCGTGTTGATAACCGGCTGGTGACTCGTGTTGTCTGAAGCTGGTGGTGTCTGCTGGCCCAGGCCTAACGTGCGCCCCGGGCCGCCAACCGTGTGTGGCATCCCGTGACCTGACCTGACCTGACTGGGCACCGTGTCTGCGCTGTTGCAGGTGAGAAGCCGTACCGGTGCTCCTGGGAGGGCTGCGAGTGGAGGTTCGCCCGCTCCGACGAGCTGACCCGGCACTACCGCAAGCACACGGGCGCCAAGCCGTTCAAGTGTCACAGCTGCGACCGTTGCTTTTCGCGGTCGGACCACCTGGCGCTGCACATGAAGCGCCACCAGGCCGAGCTATGATCGCCGGCGCCGGCGCCGTCCGGCCGGCCGGCCGCCGTCAGGGACTACACTGCCACTGTCATTCCACCGCCGGCTGGCGGGCCCGGCCCGGGCCACACCCCGACCCGCCGCCGGCTTTTGTACGGGCCGCCAGCGAGGCACGGCGCCGGTGTGAGCTACAGCTAGTCCGCCGCGGATGTCCGCGGACCGCCAGCACCAGTTTGTGTGTCTGTCTGCGTCTGTGTGTGTGTGTGTACGCGCTCACCGGCTCGTTAAGGTTTCGTTCGGGGACTTCAGGCTAAGCTTCTGCCATCCGAATTACGTGCTCCCCGCCGGGCGGCGTTGCGGCCACCGGCGATGGCGATGGCGATGGCGATGGCGATAGTGATGGCGGCCCGGGAGATGGCACATCTCCGGCCCGCAGTGAGGACTCGGAGCTGATGCTGACGCTGGGCTGAGTGAGGCCTGAGAGGCTTCATGGGTCCGCAACCAGTCCTAAGCCAACGCTTGTGTAACAAAAGTTGCAAAAGCACCGTCTCTATTTCCTGAAACCTTCAGAATGCCTGCGTTTGTGTGCATGTACAGTGGAGAGTTATTTCATTTTGTGGGCACTTCATTCTTATGTGTATATTTTCCAGCATCCATTTCACAGTGCACGATCATTTTTGTCATCCGCTAAGAGCTTAGTTAAGGAAAGCGCAACGGATCCGTACTTTTATGAACCCGTTCCTGGGACCCGAGTTGGCTTGACACTAATATCCCTTTGTGCATTTAAAACCACAAAGACTAAAAAGTGGACGCTTGCGTGTGTGTGGCAAGTGAGTGAGTGAGTGAGTGAGTGAGTGAGTGAGTGAGTGAGTGAGTGAGTGAGTGAGTGAGTGGGTGAGTGAGTGAGTGAGTGAGTGAGTGAGTGAGTGAGTGAGTGAGTGAGTGAGTGAGTGAGTGAGTGAGTGAGTGAGTGAGTGAGTGAGTGAGTGAGTGAGCGAGCGAGCGAGTGAGTGAGTGGGTGGGTGGGTGAGTAAGAAAGAGAGAGAAAGAGAGAGAGAGAGCGAGAGAGAGAGAGAGAGAGAGAGAGAGAGAGAGAGAGAGAGAGAGAGAGAGAGAGAGAGAGAGAGAGAGAGAGAGAGAGAGAGAGAGAGAGAGAGAGAGAGAGAGAGAGAGAGAGAGAGAGAGAGAGAGAGAGAGAGAGAGAGAGAGACGACGCTGGTGAAGGACACCGAAAGGTTGCTATGATTAAAAACAAATAAAGAATAAGATAAATGGCGACAATCACCTAATCCTGTCCTCTTGTCACCGAATGAGTCGCTGGCGGTTGCGGTGCAGACGGCGGCTGGTGGTGCGGTCTCAGGAGATCCGAACGAATGGCAGCACGTGCGTAGGTCACCGCGATGCGCCTGCCACCGCGTGCTGTTCATGGTTCAAAGCCAGCGAAGCTTTAAAAGTCGGCGGTGGTGGGGGAAGAACATGAAGTGCAAACCTGCCTGTTAGCCGACTGTGTCGGATGCGGCGGGGTGAAACTGTGATGGGATGCGTCCCTCTGGGGCGTCAGCGACTGGCGAGGGCGTGTGCGTGCGTGCGTGTGTGCGTGTGGCGCTGGGTGTGCGCCGGTGTTGTCACGTGTCTCTGAGATGGTTAGTGACGCCCAGCGTAGAAGTTCGGCGCCGTTGGCGCTGGAGCTTACCTTGCTTTTGTGCTGAATCGAAGTGTTTATGCGTCCGACAAGTATTTCGTGTCATGGTCTGAGTTGAGGTCGTGCGTTATACCGTCGGTCGATGTTTTTTTACGAAAATCAAACCCGCCATCTTCCTGGACCACGTGCTAGCACTAAGTGAATCCCGTGTTCGTTATCAGTAACCCAGCGATGTGGCGCTGATGACGTGCGCCAGCCTTCTATTGATCCGACGACCCCTGTGACATCTGTAAATGGATGCTAGCAGCTGCTAGCAGGCTCTCGAGCGAACACACTTCCCCGTTTCAAGTATTCCCTCAGATGTCGTAGACGCCGCCTGATGTGAATAGACGCCACCCGGGTGTGACTCATCACGTACCGTTCTCCGCTGCACGCGAGGTTCACTTCGAGGGCTCGCTCTCCCTCTTGCGTTGCCTCAGTTCACATGCGAGCCTTTAAACACACAGCTCCGACAATCCCCCTAAGCCTTCTGCCGCAATCGGTCCCGTTTCTTCGCCCGACCCGCCGTACCCGCTACGGTCTTCACTGGCCACTCGCGGCACCGACCTTGAGCCGCCCTCGCGCCGAGCGTCGCACGAACGCCCGCCGTGATTCCTGACGCAATGTGAGGCATGGGCGAGGCGCCGGGCCGCCGCGGTCGTGTGACGGCGTCCGTCACCCCGCCGCTCCGGTCCCAATGGCTCCGAACGGGCCCCGTCTCCAGTCGTACGCGGCGCCGGACGGCAGGTGTCGTGCGCGGGCGGACGCGGGTGGCGGCGGCGCAGCCTCTCTCGTGCCGGCGGTCAGCGATGAGCGCGTACCCGTGCGTAGACGGCACCCATCATCGCTCATCTAGTGTTACTGCGTCGCCTCATCACGTGTAAGCCGAGCCGGCCGGCCCTTGTACATAGTCGAATAGGTTAAGCATTCTGTACCTGCGTTGTGGACGGTAACACTATTCATTGTTTTTGTATGCATTGTATATTTTGGAGTTGTGTACCGTGTATCGTGCCGGCGGGCCATGCGGGCGGAGCGTCCGCGGCCCGTCGCCTGCGTGTATTGATTGGCCACTTGTGACGTGCAAGGGAGATCTCATGCAGCGCACTTTCCTCTCCGCCAGCCCCCTACTGTCCGCCTCTCTCCGCGTAGGATACACAGCTGTACGAGGGTCCGGGTACACAGCTGGGGTGGTTGGCCACTGCCGCGCGATGTCGAATGCTTACCGAGGACGAAGAGTCCTCGACAGGCCTGCGCTGGTCACACCGGTGCGAGGTGCTCTCCGCACCGGCAGGGATGGGACGTGTCCGCTGTGACGGACGAGCGCCACCTCGCCCTGCCTGCCAGAGCTACTCATCGTCGCTCACGCCGCCGGAATGGTCTTTTGAGCTTGGCATCGCTCAAAAGTGTTCGGTTCTGTTTCAGCCGCTTATTTTTTCTATCTATGCTATAGGCAGTATGGCACTTGATGTCGCTTCCTTGTGATATTTGTATCTTCTGTAAGATGGCGCGAATGCGTGGCTGCCAGCTATAAGTGAGCCATAAAATACACAAAATGATTTATTCAGTTGGTTTGTTGTGGCATGTGGAGCGTGAGAAAAACATGCCGGGATCGAGCGGAAATGACAGCTCGCGCGCGCAGAGCAGACGGAGAGAGAGAGAAGAGAAGAGAAGAGAGAGAGAGAGAGAGAGAGCGAAGAGAGAGAGAATAAGAGAAAGAGAGAGAGAGCAGAGAGAGAGAGAGAGGAGAGAGGAAAGAGAGAGATAGACTTCTCAAAGCAGCTCATCGCGAGAGAGATAGAGAGAGAGGAGAGAAATATAGAGAGAGATAGAGAGAGCTGCCCACGGTGAAAACCATTACCCGAAGACTTTAATTTGATTACGAAACAGTGGCATTACTCCCACATGTCACTCGCCAACGCACAAAAGTTAAGAGACGCAGTATATTGACACCAGGTGAGTCATGCTGTTTCATCGGTTTGCAAGCAAAGCCTTCACCTGGACCATATTTTTGTTGTGGCTTGGCACAGCACAGGTTCTATTCCTGACTTGGTGTAGGCCAAGGGTCAAAGGCCATTATTGATATCGCCTGTATGGAAAGCAAGCACGTAACCTTATGCTAGAAATCTAACCTCTCGAACATTTCAAACCACCCGCTTACCGATGTTGAATGCACCTTGATTTGCAACCTAGAAAGCTATCGCTCTATCGTGGCCTCCGGACCTTTCGAGTCGTTAGAAGTCTCAAACGAGCCTCGAGTTTTCCTTTACCAATCAAGCCCGCGGTCAGCACCGCTGCAGTGAACGCTTCTGAGCACCTCATGGGCTACGTGTGTTTATAGGGTAATCATGGCATTCGTTAGTCTTCACTTAAGCAACGACCTTACGCCACCAAGCCACGCCCTCAGCAAACCAGAATCCTTTATCTGAATAACTGACCTGACAATTAGCCCCAGGCATTATACCGCCGTCAGCTTCAGCCTCTAATCATCAATTTCTGAATTGAGTGCCGGATGAAGAGCGGGCCCCCACATCCACTCAATATCGACGGAGGCCATTCAGTACCAGTTTCCGGAGCTCTTCGCAATCGATAGCGGGCCGGCGGCCGGCTGTGACCTCTGACCCCGGCGGGTCAGCGCGCAACTGGAGGTCATGACCCGCCGGCGCCGGGCCGGAACCGCTCTCCGATCGGCAGCCGGGCCGGGACTGCCCCCGCCGCGAGCTGAGAGTGGACCGTGGTTCCGCTGCGGGTGTCGCGACGGCGGCAGGCACGTCAGCCGCGGCCGGGGCAGCCGGCCTGGTGCCAGGCCGGCTGAAGTGACCTGAGCTGACCGCGGCTGATCCGACCCGGCCTGCCCCTGGCACGACTAGATCGGATGACCTGGCCTGACCTGACCTCGATTGGCCTGAATTGACCTGTCCTTGGCGCGCCCAGGCCGGCTGACCCGACCTGGCGTGGTTCTGGCACGGCTAGACCGGCTTGTCTGGCCCGACTTGACCTCAGCTGACCCGACCTGATCGATCCTGGCATAGCCAGACCGGCTGACCTGACTTGACCCAACCCCGACACTAACAGGCCGACTTATCTGTGGTGATGAGGACCCTGATCTGATGCGTACGTCTTCACAGCTACCGATCGTTAACTGTAACGTAACGAGCCAGCGTGCCTTCTCAGAAAGTAGAGCACGGTCTTTCTGATGCGTGTCACACATTACTTGAATGCCGTAAATCCGGGAAGCTCAGTAATTCATAGCGTAAATACAATTTTCGAATTCACGGTAGCCAAGTGCGTGCAATACTGTCATACATTTATTGCGATTTCAAAGGAAACCTGCAGATATAGCCGCCATAAAAAGTAGCACAGAACTTGAGCTTCCTCATGCATGGCACATCTGAGTGAAGCGAACAGGGGAAAGAGAACGCATTGCCGAATACCGGGTGAATGCCTGCTCGGACAGGAAAGGCGTCAATGGCGCGGTACGTGCACTACTTGAATGGCATGCAGCGCATGCGGTGCCGTCTAGCGGACGGAGTCTAAACTATGACTGGAATTCGATCGCAGCCGAGCACCGTGCGCAGCGTTTTGCCCATATCTGCTGACAGGCGGGTGCACTACGCGCCGCCGGCTGTTCAGGGCACGTGCGCGGATCGGCGCACGCTGTCGGCGCGTGTCCGCGCAGCACGTGCGCCGCACCGCGGGTCAGCGGCGCCGCGGACGGCGGCCGTCCGATGCCGGGTCACGCCGCGGCGGCCGCGAGCGGCGCCGCCACGCAGACCGTGAGTGCAACACGACAGGCTCCCCACGGGCGGAGAGGCATGGTGTGGCAGGCCGGGGGTACATCACGACAGACTCCCCACGGGCGGAGAGGCACGGTGTGGCAGGCCGGGGGGACATCACGACAGACTCCCCACGGGCGGAGAGGCACGGTGTGGCAGGCCGGGGGGTACATCACGACAGACTCCCCGCGGGCGGAGAGGCACGGTGTGGCAGGCCGGGGGTACATCACGACAGACTCCCCACAGACGGGGAGGCACGATGTGTCAGACCGCGGGTACAACACGACATACTCCCAACAGACGGAGAGGCGCGTTGTGGCAGAGCCCCCGCAATGCAGTGAAGTACAGCGCGGCTGATAAGACGACGACGGGCAACAGCGACTGGGGTGGGGAACACAGCACAGCACAGGTCGCGTTCGGGGGGGGGGGGGG